TTATTTTGATATATCACAGTGAAAGATTTATCGTCCTCTTTTTTTTTTTTTTTTTAAAAAAAAAAAAAAAAAAAAAAAAAAAAAAAAAAAAAGGGTAGAACTGAATCAGTGCTGTATAGTGGTTAGCATAGATGTTATCATTTGTGGCCAGAAAATAAGAATGCTTGGGAGAGCCTCTGCCCTTCCATTTTGAATCTATTATTGTTATTAAAATAGTTTTATCATTTTACATTGATACATTAGTAAATCTATCAACTCTGCTTTTTATTTATTTATTATTCATTTACTTACTATGGTGGTAGGAATCAAACGTAAGGCTTCATCTGTGTTAGACAAGTACTCTGCCACTGAGCTACATTCTAGCCCCTGTCCATCAGTTCTGATTTGCCAGTGCCTTTCCATTGTTGGTTTTGTAGAGGAATTATTTAGTTGGTTTGCTAGTTTACCAGTTTCTTACTGCTGTCTATTACTGCCAACTTCACAGTGATCTTGCTTTCTCCCCAGGCTGCCTATCCCCAAACTTGAAAATACCATGAGGAGATACCTCAGTGCACAGAAGCCTCTCTTGGATGACAGCCAGTTCAGGTAAACACTGAGAACCCCGAGTAATCATTAGTGGGCAGGTTCAGGAGAGGCTAGTGGTGGAAGCTTCAAGAGATACCTGTGCCTTGCCTGGGTCTCTAGGACCTAGAATGTACTTTATACATTTGAAATTCAGGAGCTGGTTTTCATTCATGAAGGACTAACAGCTATGGTGAGAGTCCCTCTAATTAGACTCATAATAGGGTTTATAAACCAGAGTAGCATATTTATACTTCACGTTGGCAGGTCTGTCCAGGAGGCTAACTGGTACTGGCCGTTTCCCAAGGCTGTGCTCTTGGGAGGGAGGCACATTGAGGACTATATGGTAGGCCTGAGCTTGCTTGCTGAGAATGTTATTGGGTTAGATAGTGTGTCTCCAAATTTATGTCCTTGTGAAACTTCAGATCGTGACCTTATTTGGAAATCAAGTTGTTGTAGATGTAATTAGCTAAGATAAGATTTTACTGGAGTTGGGCAGGTCCCTAAGTCCAACATGACTGGTATCCTTATGACAGGAAAAGAGACAGCCAGCCATGCAGAAGTTGAGAGAGGAACATGATGGGTTCTCTCCCAGGGTCTCCAGGGAACACAGTCCTGCTAATGCCTTGGTTTTGTGCATCTAACCTCTTGAACTGAGAGAATAAATTTCTGTTGTTTTAATCCCCAATCAGTTTGTGGCACTTTGTTAGAGCAACCTTAGGAAACCAATACAGCATGGAATTGGAAGATAACATTGAGTATGTTAAAAAAAAAAAAATGGATTGCTGCCAGGCATAGTGATGCATGCCTTTGATCCCAGCTCTCAGGAGACAGAGGCAGGCAGATTTCTGTGAGTTTGAGGCCAGCCTGGTGGTCTACATAGTGAGTTCCAGGCCAGCCAGGGATAGACAGTAAGACTCTGTCTTAAAAAAAAAAAAAAATGAAAGTAGATTGTATCAAACAAACTCTTGAAGCCTCATATGGTTAGTACTCTTTTCTAGATCTGTAATTTTTAAAAAATAGATTACTAGTATTGTCACTAGAATCACACAGTCCTTTGTTGAGAAGGAGAGAAACGGGTAGACTGATCATAGTCTAGGCTCTGTTTTGAAATAATCCTGTTACTTGAAGTTCTTAATGTAGCAATGAATGGCTTCCAGTTCCTGAGTGTTATATTTTAGTCTATCTTAAATCCTTAGCTTTGTGTTTTTTAGTTTTGTGAGATGGCACTATTATCTCTCTTTTACACATATAGGAACTGAGAGCCTGGGTCTTGTCAAACGCACCCATTTTGAAAGTGACTCCTAGGATTTGAAGAGCCAGGATTCAGACTCTGCTCCTTTCAACCCCAAAGCTGACGTCCTTTTCTCCGTGCCAAACTGCCTCCTAGAGGACAGATGGTTCGTTGAGATGTTAACAGACCTTCCTGCCCCAGACTTCCCCATTTCAGGTTGATCTTGTTCTCTTCAGAGGTACTCCTGATCGCATCATCAGAGTCGGGGAATATGCTGTGGGGGACCCAGAGTATGAATTCTTGACCAGGAACCTGAAAATCATGTATTTCCTACCCTGGTTTGATTCTGGCTTTTCTTGAATGTTTCAGGAAAACAGAGCAGTTCTGTAAGAGTTTTGAAAATGGCACTGGAAAGGAACTGCACGAGCAGCTCGTTGCTCAGGACAAGCAGAATAAGCACACCAGCTACATTTCAGGTGGGTAGGCCAGGCTGGGCCACCATCATAGCCCCAGAGGCTCCACTGTGGGAAATAAAGCATCCTCTAGACTGTTTTGGTGTCAAATATGTTTTTTGAAACCTACTTTGAAGGAATGGCCTTCCCCTTCCTGAAGTATATTGAGGCTGTGTGAGTTCCTTTTCTAAGACGGTGTTGGCTGCATCTGTGCTCGTTTGCCCTCACTGAAGGTGGAGTGAGGTGGAACCTGATTGGTTCTTCTGTCTGGAAAAGATGCACGATTCAGTCCTGTGTCTTCCAGTGTCACTGTAGTCCTCCTGGTCTGGTCTGATGGTCCTCTCAAACCTCACCTCATGTGACTCCCTGACATAGATGGTACTTTAGCAAACCTGCCCTGCATCTCAGTCCCTGAGCTCTGTCCGTCTTTCATCCTGCCTTTGTCCATGAGGTTGCCTCTGTGTTTTTTGCCTGGCACATTCTTCCTTTGCCATCCAGATACAAAAGCTGGTCTGCAAAACATTAGTCCTTTTGCATTCAGAGTTAGTTTTTTCTACCTCTGTTCTTACAATACGTCTTTTAGTTTTAAAAATTATTGGCTTTTTAAAAAAATATTTATTATTTTTATTTTTTGTGTATACATGTATTGCCTGCATGTAGGCAAGTGCACCCGTGTGTGCAATGCCCTCAGAGGTCAGAAGAAGGCATTGGATCCCCTGACACTGGAGTTACAGACAGTTGTTAGCGGCCATGTGGGTGCTGGGATTCAAACCCGGGTCTTCTGCAAGAACAACCAGTGTTGTTAACCATTGAGCCATCTCTCCAGCCTTAAATTATTGGCTTTTTAAATTTTTTATTTTTATTTATGTGTCTGAATGTTTTGCCTGCGTGTATGTTAAGTGTGCCCCTGTGGTACAGTGCTTTCAGAGGCCAGAAGAGGGTGTTGGATTCCCTGAAACTGCCATGTGAGTACTGGGAACCGAACCCAGGTCCTCTGCAAGAGCAGCCAGTGTTCTTAACTACGGAGCCTATTGTTTTTGAGATCTGTTCTCCCTTTGTAACTCACGCTGGCCTCAAGTTCATGATCCTGCTTCAAGTAGCTAGGATTACAGATGTATACAACTACCTGGCATAATATAGATTATTTACTTATTTTTTATTTATTTATTTTTTCTGGTCTTTTTGAGACAGGGTCTCCCTGTAGCCCCAGCTAGCCTGGAACTCACTTTGTAGACCAGGCTGGTCTGCCTCTCAAGTTCTGGGATTAAAGGTGTGCCACCATGCCAAGCATTTACTTTTTTTTTTTTTTTTTTTGGTCTTTTTGGGAAAGTGTCTCCCTGTAGCCCCAGCTGTCCTGGAACTCACTTTGTAGACCAGGCTGGCCTTTGAACTCATAGAGATCCGCCAGCCTCTGCCTCCCGTGTGCTGGGATTAAAAGCGTGCATCACCACACCCAGCTATTTACTTATTTTTTAATATACATTATTTATTTGGAGGGGGGACACATGCCGTCATATGCTTGTTGGAGGTCAGAAGACAACTTGCTGGGGTTGGTTCTCTCTTTCTGTCATGTCATCTCCTGAGATTAAACTCAGGTTGTCAGGCTTGATGGCAAGTGCCTTTACCCACTGAGCCATAGAGTTATACATGCACATTGTTTAAAGAACTAAATAGTTCTCTAAGACTTGTGGACAAAAACAGCAATTGCCTGATCCTCCCTAATTTCTTACTTTTCACCTGCTTTATTATTTATTTATCTTATTTATTTATTGACATAAAACTCACTGTGTAGCCCAAGCTAGCCTTGAACTTGTCATTTACTTATTTTACTGCATTCTGGATTTAGAATTCGTATTGGGGTAATCATATAAATGCTGTTGTCAGCTGAGTTGTGTTGCATATTGGCATTGCTTTTCCTTTCCTGTTCCAGCTTCTCATTTTCTCTGAAGTCACTAATGAGCTCATCCTTTCTTTTGTGTAGTTTTCCACATGCTTGTTGGTTTATACCCCCACCTCCACACACTCCTCCCAAGATGTCTGAATGTTCTCTGAGTGCCTGACTTGAGATACTCTGTCAAGTTTGGTCTTCTGACAGTATCTCTTCCAGGACTTCTGGCTTGCCGTAGCCCGACCTGTGACCCCTTGGCCTGTGGTGACTCTGCTTCCTCGCCATCTTTCTTTTGTTTTTCTTCTTGTTTGTTTTCCTTCTTGGCATCTTTGACTGTCAGCGGGTGTCTCTTCAGCCCTTTCTCATGTTGGCACTCTGGTGTCCCGGGTTTCCTGTTTCCTCTTTCTTGGCTTCTCACTTAGTGTTTTCTGAGCACTAGTCCCTTTATTCTGTGGAAGCAGGAGTCTCACAATTGCCCTCACACTTGAGTGGTGGACACTGGCTACGTTGGAAATCAATGTGCCACAGGATTTTTGAAGGCAGTTTTCCATTGCCTTTTAGCTTTCAGTCTTGCTGTGGATGGGCTGATGTTATTCTGAGTTTTGATCCTTCAACAGTTGCTGTCTCTGGAAGCTTCTAGAACATGTCTTTGTCCCCAGTATTCTGAAATTCCATATAACATTTTTTGGTGTGTGTTTCTTCCTACTCATTTTTGCTAGGTCTCAAGTAAATCTTTTTTTAATATTTTATTATTTTTATTTTTTGTGTTTGAGTGTATTGCCTGCATGTATATAAGTGCACCCGGTATCATGCAATGCCTGCAGATGTCAGAAGAGGGTGTTTTGGAACTGGAGTAATGATGGTTGTTAGCCACCACGTGGGTGCCGGAAATCAAACCCAGGTCCTCTGCAAGAGCAGCTCTTAACCTCTGAGCCATCTCTCTAGCCTCTCTGAGTGAGTCTTTTGACTGAACACTCCTGCCCTTCAGTTCTGCAATAGTGTTTGTTTTCTTTCTTTCGTTTCCTTATTTTCTTTCTGGGATTTTTACTTGGATGTAGAATTTCTTTCTTTTTTTTTTTTTTGTCTCTTTTGGGACAGGGTCTCCCTGTAGCCTCCAGCTGGCCTGGAACTCACATATATCCACCTGCTTCTGCCTCCTCAGTGGTGGGATTAAAGGTGTGTGCCACCAGACCTGGCTTGGATATAGAATAAGACTAGTCTTCTAATTTTCTTTTCTCTTACATTTTAAGCCCACCCCCTTTTTCCCCCCAGTTTTATTGTGTTTTTTTGTTGTTTTTGGTTTTTGTTTGTTTGTTTGTTTTTGTCTTTTTGAAGCAGAGTCTCCCTGTTGTCCCAGCTGTCCTGGAACTCACTATGCAGACCAGGCTGGCCTTGAACTCACAGAGATCTACCTGCCTCTGCCTCCCAAGTGCTGGGACTACAGGCGTGTGCCACCACCACGCCCAGTTTGTTTTTGTTTTTGTTTTTTTTTAGACAGGGTCTCAGTATATAGCCTTGACTGGCCTAGAATTTACAGAGACTGCCTGCCTTGGATTAAAGGCATGTGCCATCACACCTGGCTAGCCCTCGTTTTTTTTGTTCTGCTATCTGGGAAATTATTTTTTTTTAATTTTTACGAAAACTTTACTGAGAATTTCATACATGCATGTAAGGTGTTTGGATCAAATCCATACCCACTCCCTCCCCTCCAACATTCCCCCCATGAAGAGGTAACTCTAAAATCTTTTAAGGATTAGATACAAGCTCCCAAATACTTTTGACATTTTTGACCTTTGGAACAGAGTATGTTGCTAACAGGCCCAAGGACATTTTGACTTTTAGCCAAGAAACTGGCTACTTTTCTTTGGGGTCTTTTTACCCTAACTGTCTAGCCAGTTCCTACCTCCCGTTCTTATTACGCCATCCTGTAAAGGGGTTACCGAAATTGCCAATAGGGAATAGGGACACAGACCACTCTGGCTTCTTCCATGCTGAACAGGGATGCAGGGTGAGGCAGTTGGAATACCCCTTCAGTGGGTCTATCTAAAAGACTCCCAAATTTCAAAACTCTTGTCTCTAAGGGGAAAAGAAAGTCCTTGAATCATGAATAGGAGATGTGAAGAAGTAAAGGCAAGAGTAATTAGCATTACAAGTTCTAGACAGGGAACTAGAAAAAAGTCAGAACAGGGCAATTTTCAAATGTTCATATGAGAGTCCATTGGAGTTTCTTGACAAGGGCTTCCAAAATCATCCCTCTATTGGGTTCCTCCTCATTTTTCTTTTGTCTTCCAAGGCTGGACTAGTTGGCTGGGAAGAGTGGCTGGATACTCAGGTGAGGGTCCAGTGACCCTGCTTGGCCCTCCTTTAATGAATGAGCACAACTGTCAACAAGCCCAGTTGTGACTATGTTTAGTGATCAGGCTCAACCAAAGCCGTGATGATGGTACTTATTTCATGCAGAAGGGACTGCTGTATAGCATCATCTTATTAAAAGGACCTGGAATTTAAAAGGATTTGGTGCTGCCGGGCGTGGTGGCGCACGCCTTTAATCCCAGCATTTGGGAGGCAGAGGTAGGTGGATCTTTGTTAGTTCAAGGCCAGCCTGGTCTACATAGTGAGTTCCAGGCCAGCTGGGGCTACAAGGAGACCCTGTCTCAAAAGAAAAAAAAAAAAAAAAAAAAGAAAGACAAAAAAAAAGGATTTGGTGCTAGGAGCCACATATGAGGGAGAACGTATATTGTTTGTTTCTCTGAGTCTGTGTTACTTCACTTAGCATAACAATTTCTAGATCCATCCATTTACCTGCAAACTTCATTATTTCATCTTTCTTTACTGCTGAATAGAACTCCATTGTGTAAATATACCACATTTTTGTTACCACTCATCAGTTGAAGGACACTTAGGTTGCTTCCCTTAGCTGTTGTGAAAAGAGCAGCAACAAACATGGTTATACAAGTGTCTCTACAATAGGATGAGTCCTTTGCCAAGGAGTGGTATAACCGGGTCATGTGGTATAACCGGGTCATATGGTAGATTCATTTTTAGGGTTTTTTGTTTTTTGTTTTGTCTTTTTGAGACAGGGTCTCCCTGTAGCCTCAGCTGTCCTGGAACTCACTATGTAGACCAGGCTGGCCTTGAACTCACAGAGATCCGCCTGCCTCTGCCTCCCAAGTGCTGGGACTACAGGCGTGCACCACCACGCCCGGCCTTCATTTTTAGTTTTTTAAGAGCTCTCCACGCTGTTTTCCATAGAGGCTGCATGAGTTTGCAATCCCACCAGCAGTGAATGAGCGTTCCCCTTTCTCTGGGAGATTAATTTTAATCTTCCAATTCTTTTCCTGAATTTCTAATTCCTGCTCTTAGTTCTCCAATCCCTTTATATTTTTTTGGTTAGATTTTTAAAAAGTATTTATTATTTTTATTTTATGTGCATGAGTGTATTGCCTTCATGTATGTAAGTGTACCCGTGTCATGCAAGACAGTGCCCATGGAAGCCAGAAGAGGGCGTTGGATGCCCTAGAACTGGAGTGCAGATGGTTGTTAGTCACCTTGTGGGTGCTGGGGATTGAACCAGGTCCTCTGAAAAAGCAGCCAGTGCTCTTAACCACTGAGCCATCTCTTCAACCCTGATTAGAATTTTTAAAAAATGTTTATTTATTATTGGTATATGTGTGTGTACACACATACTCATCTGTGGGAGTCAGAGGACAACTTGTGGGAGTTGTTTTTTTCCTTCCACCAGTTGATTTCTGAGGATTGAACTAGGGTTGCCCGGCTTGGCAGCAAGCACCCTTAACCATCCAGAAATACTTTTTAAGGTTTTCTTTACTTATGATATCTGTCTCCTTCAAGTTCCTTCTCCCATGTTTGTTTGCCTCTTTCTTTAGATGTTACCTAATCCTCCCCTGTTGTTATAAGTGAGATTCTCTGCCCATGAGAGTGGGATGGTCAGTTACAGGTGTCACTGTTTTGTGGTCTGGTTCAGCTGTTGTCTTGGGGTGCCTCTAGGGGTCATGTCTTTGGGTTAGATCCCCAGGAAAGGTGTTTCTAGTAAAACTGCCTTCAGAAGCAGGGTGAGAGGGAGGTCTGTAAACTCAGTCATGATGTGCGTCTCCCAACTTTACTGGATCCAGAGAATAAAAACACATCTCACCAGAATGGGAAGGAATTATGGGGTGGTAGGTGAGGATCTAGTTAAGATGTTTTCAGTCAGATCCTCTAAAGGGTCTGCTGTAGAACCAGATTGAATCCTGTTTTTCTCTTGTCAGTTTGATTGGCTTTTTTGAATCTGTTTTGGTCATTACCAGTTGACTAAATACTTTGGACCTCCTATTCTTTCTTCCTTCCTCTTTATTTTGGCCATATTGTTTGTTTTAGTTTGGGCTTTTTGTTGTTTTTTTTTTTAATTTTTATTTTATGTGTATGAGTATATTGCCTGCATGTAGGTAAGTGCACCCATGTCGTGCAGTGTCTGAGGAAGACAGAAGAGGCCATCGGATCCTTTGGAACTGGAGTTACAGACAATTATTAGCTGCCATGTGGGTGCAGGGATTCGAACCTGGGTCTTCTGCAAGAACAACCAGTGTTCTTAACTGCTGAGCCATCTCTCCATCACTATTTTTTGTATTTTTTTTTTAAGACAGGGTTTCTCCTGTAGCCTCAGCTGGCCTGAGACCATGTAGACCAGGCTGGCCTTGATATTACAGAGATCTGCCTGCCTCTGCCTCCCAAATGCTGGGATTTAAGGTGTGTGCCACCACACACAGTTTTATTGTTTGTTTTAGATGTACTTTGTAATCCCAGCTACTCAGAAGGCTGAGACAGGATTACAAATTTCAGACCAGTTTAAGAAACAAAGCGAGACCTCATCCGGGGTTTTAAAAAAAAATTACAATGATAAGTGTTGGTGAGGGTGTGGAAATTAGACCCCTCATGTAGGGCTTGTGGAAATGGTACAACCACTTTGACTTTGGAGGATACCTTGAATTTTCCTTAGATGGTTTAATAGAGACCACATGACCTTAGAAATTACACCTCTAGCTATATAGATCCTCAAAAGAAATGAGAACATAATGTCTACATTAAAATTTGTATATGAGGGGCTGGAGAGATGGCTCAGCAGTTAAGAGCACTGACTGCAGAGAACCGGGGTTCGATTCCCAGCACCCACATGGTGGCTACGAACCGTCCTTAACTCCAGTTCCAGGGGCATCCAAAGCCCTCATCTGGCCTCCGTGGCATTGCACGACACAGGTGCACTCACATACATGCAGGCAATACACTCGTACACATAAAATAAAAATAAAAATAAATAAAATTTGTATATGAAGGTTCATAGGAATACCATGCATAATAGCTGAGAAGTGAAAACAACCCAGATGTCCATTAGCTGATAAATGGATAACAGATCCATATATGAAACGCTGTTCAGCCGTTAAAAACAACAAACTAACACACACTACAACCCAGATGAACCTCTGAAGCATTGAAAGTAACAGAATCCAGATGCATAAGACCACGTGTTGTTTGATCCCAGGAAAAATATCCAGGAAGTTTCCCCTTCTTGAAGTTGATATTGTTTCTTCTTCCTGAGCCTGAAATTGTTTTCTTAAATTTAGTTTTGGGGGGTTGCATTAGCTTTTTGTGTTGCTTTTTATTTTTCAGGCCCCTGGTTTGATATGTACTTAACTGCTCGAGACTCTGTTGTTTTAAACTTTAATCCATTTATGGCATTCAATCCTGACCCAAAATCTGAGTATAACGACCAGCTCACCCGGGCGACCAACATGACTGTTTCTGCTGTCCGGTTTCTGAAGACACTTCGAGCTGGCCTTCTGGAGCCAGAAGTGTTCCACTTGAACCCTGACAAAAGTGACACCAATGCCTTTAAGAGACTCATACGCTTTGTGCCTTCCTCCCTGTCCTGGTATGGAGCCTACCTGGTCAGTGCATATCCCCTGGACATGTCCCAGTATTTTCGGCTTTTCAATTCAACTCGTTTACCCAAACCGAGTCGGGATGAACTCTTTACTGATGCCAAAGCCAGACACCTACTGGTCCTAAGAAAAGGACATTTCTATGTTTTTGATGTCCTGGATAAAGATGGGAACATTGTGAGCCCCTTGGAAATCCAGGCACATCTGAAGTACATTCTTGAAGACAGCAGCCCCCTGCCCGAGTTCCCCCTGGCATACCTGACCAGTGAGAACCGAGATGTCTGGGCAGAGCTCAGGCAGAAGCTTGTGCATGGTGGCAACGAGGAGACCCTGAGGAAAGTGGACTCTGCTGTCTTCTGCCTCTGCCTAGATGACCTGCCCATGAAGGATCTTGTCCACTTGTCCCACACCATGCTACATGGTGATGGCACAAACCGCTGGTTTGACAAGTCCTTTAACCTCATTCTAGCCAAGGATGGCACAGCCGCAGTCCACTTTGAGCATGCGTGGGGGGATGGCGTTGCAGTGCTTAGGTTTTTCAATGAAGTGTTCAAAGACAGCACTCAGACCCCTGCCATTACTCCCCAGAGCCGGCCAGCCACCACTGACTCCTCTGCTGCTGTGCAGAAGCTCAACTTCAAACTGAACGATGCCTTAAAGGCTGGCATTGCCACTGCTAAGGAAAAGTTTGATGCTACCATGAAAACCCTCACCATTGACTACATCCAGTTCCTGAGAGGTGGGAAAGAATTCCTAAAGAAGCAGAAGCTGAGCCCTGACGCCGTGGCCCAGCTGGCCTTCCAGATGGCCTTCCTGCGGCAGTATGGGCAGACAGTGGCTACCTACGAGTCCTGCAGCACTGCGGCCTTCAAGCATGGCCGCACTGAGACCGTCCGCCCAGCCTCCATCTTCACAAAGAGGTGCTCAGAGGCATTCGTCAGGGAGCCCTCCAAGCACAGTGTGGGCGAGCTTCAGCACATGATGGCTGAGTGTTCCAAGTACCACGGCCAACTGACCAAAGAAGCAGCAATGGGTGAGTCTCAGCTGGGGAGCACACCTCGAGTCCTGTTGCCCTCTTTGAACTCAGTAATATTCCACCCAGTTCTGATCCCTACCCATAAACCCGGTTTAATCCACCCATCAACTCCCAAAATGATTTGTTTTTCCTACCCTTCCTGTGCCTGAGCAGCCACTAGGGACGAGAAACTAAGCAGGCATGGGGAGCTTTCATCATTTAAGGTCATTTTCAGCTGTGACACATGATTCTTTTTTCTATCCTTTCTATCCCTCATTGGCCATCAGACACATTTTTGGCAATTTAAGATTTCTAAGCCTGCTCCTTATATTTCACTTCAGCTGCAGGGTGTTAGCTCTCTGTAAAGAGGTCATCCCAGAAGCTCTTGCCAGTTTAATTAATTAATTAATTTATTTATTTATTTATTTATTTATTTATTGTATTTTTTGTTATTTTTATGTGTATGAGTATATTGCTTGCATGCATGTAAGTGCATCTATGTCATGCAATGCCCACGGAGGTCAAAAGAGGATGTTGGATCCCCTGGAACTGGAGTTATGGACTATTATTAGCTGCCATGTGGGTGCTGCCAGCTGAACCTGCAAGAGCAGCCAGTGCTCTTAACCACTGAGCCATCTCTCCAGCCCTGTTTGTTTATTTTTGAGACAGGGTCTCCCCATAGCCCCATCTGGCCTGGAACTCACTAAGTAGACCAGACTGACCTGGAATTCACAGAGGTCTACCTGCGTCTGCTTCCTGAGTGCTGAGATTAAAGGCATGCACCACCATGACCAGCCTCTTCCCAATTTTAAATGTCATATTTTCTTTATCTCTTTGTGATAAATTTTAAGACCTGGAAAGGACATAGAGGATCCCGTTCTCCCATAGTCCATTCCTGTAGGGTTTAAAAAAGCCATGGAACTAAAAGAGGCACCCAAGACATCTAGTCTTTTCCTTCTCCGTTTTGAAGGCAGGACGCTGAGGCCATTGTCCCAGTTACTACACCAGGCTGAGGTTAGAACCTGGAAATGCCCGTTCCACTTTGTTCCACTCACTTAGTCTACTCTTTTACAAGTGGACTTTGAGTTTTACCTTAGTTTTCTTTGTCATGTGCGTGTGTGTGTGTGTGTGTGTGTGTGTGTGTGTGTGTGTGTGTGTGTGTGTTGCTGGGGAATGAATGTCTCATTGAGCCTTTAAAAAAATGTATCTATTTATTTTTATTTTATGTGTATGGGTTTTTTGCCTGCATGTATGGAAGTGCACCACATGCATACAGTATCCACAGAGGTCAGAAGAGGACATCGGTGTCCTCTGGAACTGGAGTTATGGACAGATGTCAGCCGTCGTGTGGGTGCTGGAAACTGAACCTGGGTCCTCTTCAACAGCAGCCGGTGCTCTTAGCTGCTGAGCCAGCTCTCCTACCCAGTTGAGCCTTTTTTTACTTGTAGAATTCATCGATCTCTTCATATATTCTTGACTCTTGACTGAATGGATTTGGGTTTTAATTTTTTAAAAATCTTACTGTTTTTATTTTATGTGTATGCCTACATGTAGGTAAGTGCACCTGTGTCATGCAATACCCTCGGAGGTCAGAAGAGGCTGTCGGATCCCCTGGGACTGGAGTTAAGGACAGTTGTTGGCTTCCATGGGGTGCTGGGATTCCAACCCTGGTCTTCTGCAAGAACAACCAGTGTTCTTAACTGCTGAGCCATCTCTCCAACCTGGGTTTTGTTTAACTTTGAACTTGGAATCCTCCTGCCTCAGCCTCCTAAGTGCTGAGATTACAGACATGCACCAGATTCAGAGTTTTCAGTATCATGCTTTTATGTGAGCTTTTTTTTTTTTTTCTTTTTGAGGCAGGGTCTCCCTGTAGCCCCAGCTGTCCTGGAACTCACCATATAGACCAGGCTGACCTTGAACTCACAAAGATCCACCTCCCTCTGCCTCCCGAGTGCTGGGTCTAAAGGCATGTGCCACCACACCTGGCTACCACACCTGGCTATTAGGCTCATTTTTAACACAGCTGTTGATAGCTGAAAATCTAGTTTTTAAATAACTTAAGGTATTCTGGAATGAGCTGCCCCAATGGTGAGCTGGGGGATGCATGCATAGCTATACACACCCTTCATCCACTCTCTGTGAAAGGGATTCCTGCCACAGCTTGAAGGTTTGCCTAAGCCCTCTTCACTTGTGAGACTCTGGTTTTTCATTTTGTCTCTTGACAGGCCAGGGCTTTGACCGCCACTTGTTTGCTCTACGCTACCTGGCAGCAGCCAATGGGATCACCCTGCCCGAGCTCTACCTGGACCCTGCGTATGGGCAGATAAACCACAACATCCTGTCCACGAGCACTCTGAACAGCCCAGCAGTGAACCTTGGTGGCTTTGCCCCCGTGGTCCCAGATGGCTTTGGCATTGCCTATGTTGTTCATGACAGCTGGATTGGCTGCAACGTCTCCTCCTACTCAGGACGCAATACCCGGGAGTTTCTCCAGTGTGTCCAGAAGAGCTTAGAAGACATGTTTGATGCCTTAGAAGGCAAAACCATCAAAACTTAACTTCTGGGTGGGCTAAAAGCCTCCATTGCTTCCTCACCATGAAGGTGGAGGACCATGTAACCAACAGGTGCCAAGCCTAAAAAACTAGTTATGAGGTGCCTGGACAGTCAGTACTGCAGACTCGAGCTGGAAGGTCACAGTTTTAAAGCTAATTATGTCCTTTCCTAGTGGGACTGGATCACAGCTGAAGATGAGATTGCAGTTTTAAAGCCCTTTGTTCAGGAGATAGGGGTTGGAAAACTCAGGTGTATTTATTATTTAAACAGAAATAAAATTTAATTGTTGCTTGGAGATGGTCCTTCTTTTTTTTTAAACCTAGTTTCTAATCCCCTCAAAGAACTTTCTAACAGTAAGTTCTGGTAGCAGTAGGTTCCTGGTCTTTGGTGGTGTAGGAAGCACTGTTTTTTTATAAAGCCGTCCCCTGTCTCCGGGACGTGTCAGGCTTTCAGTCTGTTTAAAGCACTTTCTTCTTTGTAGAGCGAGCTTTTCTGCTTGCTTCTGGCAGGCCTGCTGCAATAAAGGCTCTTTGCATGGGTTTGGGTACTGCTTAATTTTACTCTTTTTTTCAGTCAATGAGGCATTCTAACAGACGTGTGTTTCCACCAGCTGAAACCTGTGTGCTGATTATAGCTTCTGGCAGCAACATTGATCTCATTTCAAGGTAGAGAACATCTCTACTGAGTGAAATGAAAGCACTGATTTTTTTTTCCACTCCAGTGTATTATTAGGATGCTGCTGTAACATGAAAGGACGGACATTTTTGCTCTTTTCTTTTTAAAGGAAAGGGTTTTGTTTATGCATGTACTGTGTCCATGACTACCCACTGAATTCTTGGTACAGCTGAGATCATTTCTGGTGTAGGTCCCTCACAAATCACGTTTTAATGCATTCCCTCATTTAACCCTTTCTAGTTTCTATACAGTGGGGATGTTATAAGGATTAGCCATAAGGTAGGTGAAGTATCTGGGATATAGGCTGTCTGTGTTCTGTATTCTACTGCTCTGTGACATCTGCCACTGCTCTTCCATTGTCTAAGGAAGTACTGGCTGTATTTGAACAACATGTTCCCTGTAGCATTAGTGCATAAGACTGATGCCTTCACTGAATTTTGCAAGGCTGAAAGCTTACACTTTTAATATTCGGGGTGACCATTGGACAGTGCACCTTGGGTGCATACTGACATAGTGCCCAGTGTTACTTCCCCTAGCCTTTCTTCTTGTCTTAAACTCATGTGATAAAGAGTTCTAGAATGTAGATAAGATGATATATTAGTTGCTTTTCTTGCCATTGTGAAAAAAGCAACTTAAGTAAGGAAAGATTTCTTTTGGCTTATATTTTGAAAGGATACAGTCCTTAGTGACTGGGGCTCCTTTGGTGGCAGAAGGCAGCTGCTTGTTACATGGCAGTAGAGAGATGGGCTGGAAGCTGAGGCTGGGCCGTAACCCTCAAGGCCTGTCCCCCAGTGACCCACATCTTCCAGCTAGGCCCCATCCCCTAAAAGTTCCATAACCTCTCAAACTAGCATCCCCGTGAGCCTGGGGACAACATTTCACACTCAAACTGGAATAGATGGCCAAACACAGAACTGTTAAGTCTCATCCCAGTTGGGGCTCTCACACACCTTGCACGTTTGTACAGAAAAACGTTTGTAAAGCTATCCCCTGTGCATTGGTGGTTTGATCTGGTCAGCTCTGCAGTGGGCAGAAATTATCCCCATTTTACATACAGAAGATGTGTGCTCAGCCAAAGTCACTTAGTAAGTAGAGCAAGGACCAGCTCTAAAGACTTGCTCCCTCACGTCCCTGTTTGCCTAGGCTTCTAGTAATTACATCCCACACCAGCTGGCCTTCCAGCTGAGGAGAGTGAGCTTTGTTCCATAAGCCCCTGTTGTTCCTGGTCCTATGGGTGGGACTGGGAGATATCTGTCTGAGGAGCAGCTCTTCTGGAAGTCAGCTGGCTTTGTCCAGGTAGCCTTCTCTGTTCATGATCCTTGAACAATATGACACATCTCTAGGTCTGTACTTACACCGGCCCCTCTGGAGACTATCTGCTTCTCTTTGAGGAAGGACCACCCAACTGAGACTTATAAATACCACATGACTTAATGTGAAAAAAAAAAAAAAGCCCAAACAGTTTGACACCTACCAATCTCCTTACTGAAAGTGAATCCTTCATTCATTTTTGGTACATTTATGGATGTAAAACCATCACCATAATCAGAACATTTTCTGATTTTTCTTCCAGGGGGGCACTGTATTAATCAATAGTCATTTTTTTTCTCCCAAATTCGTTAATCTCCCAAGTTCTACCTCAACAAGCACTAGTCTATTTTCTGCTTTATAGATTTTTCTTATTTTGAATATTTTATATAAATTGCGTCACGTATGACTTTGTAATTAGTTTCTTAGCACAGGGTTCTTTAAATTTTTGTTTTTTATGTATTTATGCTATATGAGTGTTTGCCTGTATGTGTGTGTATGTATGTATGTATGTATGTATGTATGAATGAACCATGTGTATGCCAGTGCCCATAGAGGCCAGAAGAAGCCATGGATCCTCTGGAATTAGAATTACAGACAATTGTAAACCACCATGTAGGTGCTGGGAACCCAGATCCTCTGTAAGAGCAGCGAGTACTCGACCACTGAGCCATCTCTCTGGCCCTCTTAGCACATATTTTCAAGGTTCACCTATGTTCTACTATGTATCAAAACTCCCATTTATTTTTATAGCTTAATAATTTTCTTTTGTATGTGTGCAGGTGTACATGGAGGCCAGAGGTCAACCTTAGGTGTCATTAGGCACCATCCACTTGTAAAAAATTTTTTTAATTTTTTATTTTTATGTGTATGAGTGTTTTGCCTGCATGTATGTAAGTGCACCACATGAGTGCAATGCCTATGGAGGACAGAAGAGGGCAGTGACTCTCCTGGAATTGGAGTTATGGAGAGTTGTTAGCTGCCATGTCAGTACTGAGGTCCTCTGCAAGAACAGCAAGTGTCCTTAACTGCTGAGCCATCTCTCCATCTCCCTACCATCTACTTTTTTTTTTTTTTTTTTTTTTTTGAGACAGCATCTCTCACTGCTCTGGAATTTGTCAAGTAGGCTGAGGCTGACTGGCCAGTGAGCTTCAGGGATCCACCTATTTGTACCTCTTCAGCACTGGGATTACAAACATGTCACTACACCTGACTGTTCTAAGGATACTGTTTGCAAAATGAGTGCTTTGCTGACTGAGCTTTTTTCCTTTTTTGCCCTCCCCCCAACCTTTTTTCCTCTCAAGACTGGGTCTCTGTACTTCACTGATCTGACTGCCTCCACCTCCCAAGTGCTGGAGTTATAGGCATGTGTGGTGCCAGGGTGGAACCCAGGACTTCCTGAATACTAAGCAAGCACTCTACCAACTGAGCTACATCCCCAGCCCTAGCTTAATAATATCCTTATACGGACCTACTGGTCGTTTGGTTGATGGACATTTGAGCGAGTTACCCTTTTTGGCTATTTGAATAATGTTACTATTTCATGTGTAGGTTTTTATGTGGATATATATTGCATTCTCATGGGTACATTCCTAGTGTGGGATTTCTGGCTTATATAGTACTCTTCTTAGTTGTTTAAGGACTTCCTAGATATCTGTACTACATTCATAGCCACCATGGGGAATTCTGGTTTCTCTGTATCCTCACCAACACTTGTTACCACAGTCTTTTTGATATTCAACATTCTGGTAGGTGTGAAATGGCTCGTAACTGTGGAGTGCTTTTTGTTTTGTTTTCCTTTTTGTTGATTTTTGTTTTTGAGACATGGTCTCACTATGCACCCCTGGCTAGCTTGGAACTTGCTATGTGGACTAGCCTGGTCTTGAATCCGTGGTGGTCTTCCTGCTTTGCCTCCTGAGTGCTGAGATTACAGGCACAAGCCACCATGGCCAGCATCATTGTAGCTCTTACTAGCTAATGCTTTAAGCTGGGCCCTCTCAAACATATTCTTGGTCCATTTTGTACTGCCATAACAGAATATCTGATACTAGGCAATTTATAATGAATAAAAATATTGGCTCACAGTTCTAGAGGCTGGAGAACCCAGTATCAAGGTGAGAGTATCTGGGTGAGGATCTTGTTGCTTCATAATGGAAGGTGAAAGGGACTGATCTCACTCTTTTACTGTAACGCCAGGTATACCTTTGAGGGTAGAGCCCTTATGACCTAGTCACCTCTTGAGCCCACCTCCTAAGGCTGTTACAAAGGCAATTAAGTTTTACTATGAGGTCTGGAGGGGCAAACATTCAAACTATAGCACTCAAGTTCCAAGTCTGGTGATACCTGGGCAGTTTTCATGTGACTGACAGAGTGAAGAGTCAGGATTTGAAGAGGTAGACATGAGACTGGTAGGAAAAAGTTTGGGTCTTGGAGGAGCCAGTGGAGGCTTGATGGCAAAAGGAATGAAGGGAGCCCAAAGACATACAACTTCGGGTAGAGAACAGAACAGAGGGGAGGGGAGCTGGGGAGTCTGGCTTCTGCCACACTAAACCTGCCCCCACAGACCTCAGACATCTGATCCAGTTGAATGGGGTGTGTGGGAGATGCCATAGCTAGAGGCTCTCCAGACCCTGGCATTCACAGGAAAATGTGGATTGTGCTCCCTGAAGGGGCTTCTCTGTGCCGACACCAAGAGAAGTGGAAGGATACAAGCAAACAGCAGAGGACCAGGGTTCAGGTCCCTGCACCCACATGGGGGCTTACAGCTGTCTGAAACTCTAGTTCCAGGGGACCCAACACCCTCTTCTGGCCTCCATGGACACATTTTTGTGTATTTGCATGTATGTATGTGTACCCATGTGGTTCACATACATACATGCAGGCAAATACACAAAAATCTTAAAAAAAAAAAAAAAGAAACCTATAGAGTTCGCCTATTAAAATCTGTCTATATGGGGCTGGAGAGATGGCTCAGGGGTTAAGAGCACTGACTGATTCCCAGCACCCACATGGCGGCTATGAACCATCCTTAACTCCAGTTCCAGGGGACTCCAACACCCTCTTGTGACCTCCCCTCCGTGGCATTGCACGACACAGGTGCACTCACATACATGCAGGCAATACACTCATACACATAAACATAAAAAATATTTTTAAATTTGTCTGTAGAAGTGAGTCTCAAAGGTTGTAAAAACTAAGATTGTGTAATCTAGCAGTTCCTTGGTGGGATGCATCAGAATCAAGCCAGTTAAGGTATGGTCTTAAATTACATCTGAGACTTATTTCTCATCTGCCCAGTACCTCCAGGGATTG